TCCCAGTCTCAGGACCTGTCAGCCAAAAGGCCATGGAGCCAGAAGCTCTGCCGCCCTTTCCCGCTCCACTTTGGGGGAGCAAATCCAGAATGGAGCAGGAGGGACCCCACGGGGCCTGTGTGCGCCTTTGCTGGGGTGGGGATCGGGGACAATGGGACTCCTTCTGCTGCATGGGACCCTGCTGTCCCCTGGCTGCCACAGGGAGCTGAGTCCCACCCGGGCCACCCCTCTCCCGAGTCAGCCCCTGACCGCTCATCTGGCTCCCGTGGGCGTGGGGGGGACGGGGAGCTTCCCCCAGCGCCTGTCTTCTCGTCACACTGTCACGGCCTCCCCGCCACGAGAGCCACCAAATCCCACACTCAGATCCACGTCCACCCGAGACACGCCTAAAAAGAGGCCCGGCTCCGACACAAACAGCAAGCAACCCTCACTTCAGTCCACACGGTGCAGCCAGGCCCAGGACTTGGGATGCACTGGGCGCAGGACTGTAGAGAAAAGGCCGGAGGCAGCCATGCTGGAGTGGGGACACCGATGAGGAAGCCGGGGACCCCACAGCGTGGAAGCACTTGGTGTTTTTATGTGCGGATGAGCTGGGGACGCCTGCTTGTCCTCACACGCTGCCTAGACATCTGATCCTATTATAAAAAGCTGCAGTCCTTTAATCTCCAAAATTAACCAAATTCAGTATTCCTTGCTGACAGCATTTATCTCCTCAGTGGTGCTGGCAACGCACATCGCTCCCTGGGCGGGGAACACAACGCTATTGTCACTCAAGTGGACAGACACAGGCCACTGGTGATTTGATCGGTTTCACGGCATCGAGCGACCCCCAAGAAATGCCCAGGACCCCCCTGGGCTCAGAGCACGGAATTTTCCTGCTTTGATGGCACCTGGCTTATTAAAGCCATGTATTTCATATCAGCAGAGGGTGTCAGGTAACTTCTCGGTGAGGGCAGACATCATCTCCCAAGCCTGTTAGGAATCTTTGTGGAAATTTAAGGACCTCCGTCAGGCAAACCCAATTCTATCAGGAATCATAGAATTTCGCTGCTAGAGAGAGATTTGATTAAGGGACCCACGTTCCTTTCCTACAGCCCTCGATTAAAAAAAAAAAAATAAAAAACCCAAGTCCATTTCAGCAGCCCCTCACTTCCGGTTGGAAAGAAACCTAAATTAATTTCTAGGACAGCCAGCCTCATCCCGAGGAGCGCAAGCCGGCGTGCGGGTTCCCAGATGCCACTCTGGAGGTAACTCGATTGCCTATTAGAACAACAAATGCTGCTTACAGAAGTCACAAGAGCCAGAAAAGCCCACTAGCGGAACCGGTGACAAGTTTAAGTCCCCTTAGCGTCAGCCCCTCACGACACCCTCGTCCCCCATGAATATTTAGTGGGAATATGGGTAACTGCAGATGTGTGCGGGCTGGGGTTTTATGTCGCCTGGCAGGCAAAGGCGACAGGTTATTACGGCAGTACTTGGAAGTCGTCCTGGCTAGGCAGGGACAGCCGTCCGTGCACAAAGCGGAGGACCGATCTGTTTACACCGCACCTGAGAAGTTTTGGGTTACATCTTCTGGGAGGTGCAAAAGTGACATTGAAGAAATGCCACCCGCACTGGGGGACTTTGCAGGGCAATGGGACTGCCATGCTGCTTGGGGTATCCTCAAATAAAGTTTGAGTGGCCTGAAAACAATTCTGCCCGGGTGCAGGAGAAGGACGGACGGGGAGAGGACTCAGAGAAGCAGCAGGACACAGCCTCTGTCCCCGCTGTGATCCAGCTGGACGCTCGGAGAAAAGATGAAGTTCCAAAAATTTCTCCCAGCTCGCTGTGAAAACATCACACTTCCCATAAAAGGGCCAGGCCAGGCGCCCGGCTTCTGTGTCACCGTGCACAGCAGGCCGGCCTGGACTTGAGACACAGAGCCACCAACAGCCACCAAGTTAGGTGAGAAAAAGTTACCGCAGGACCCGTCCAGGAAACCGCCGGGACAGAAGGGCAGGGAGGGGGAAGCAGGACGTTCTTCCAGCTTTGTCTGTTTTATGCATATTCCACCATTGTCCCTTCCCTCCTCTGATCTGAGATCCCCCACCTCTGACAAAGGCAGGTCTTGCAAACTCGGACCCCGCCATCCTGGCTGCCTTATTTGTCTGCAAAAGCCCAAAACGCAGGCTGGTTTTTGTTTATTTTTTTTTTAAATGGCCTCCATTTCTCTATAATTTTTTCCTTCCCCCAGCTCAACTTTGTTCACAGACTCTCTGATCGGATGTGGAGTTTCATTTTATAAAACTTGTTCCAAGTCCAGAGTGTAATTTGGGGATGTCTGATTGTCTGGTTTAAATTTATATAAAAAAAAAAAATCAGAGTCACATGGGAGTTTCTGAGAATAGCCACTTGTCAGTCAAGATTCCTCTCCGGAAGGACAGACATCCAAAGCCTGGAAGACCAGCTGGCATGTCCCTGTCCTCGTCCCGTGGCTACACACCTCGTGCGGGGCTGGAGTGTCACACTGTCTGGCTGCAAGGCCAGCACCAGTCATTTTGTTAAATACCGACTGGTGTTTTGTCATCGGAGCGGAGAATTTCAGAAACGCTGTTAATATTTAATCCCATTAGTACTGGCGTGTTTTACGGTGTGACAAAATAAAATGGGCTTTGCTGGGGGGGGGGGCGGGGAGAAAGAGCTCAGTGGGGCCGGAAGCTTGGAAAAGTCACTCAGTGCCACTGGAAGTCCCTGCCTCTGGCTGATGGGACCAGGGCACGGTTTGTAAGGAAAAGTAAAACATTTTTTTCCCCTGACTCTATTTCACAGTGGCACAGTCACTCCGATCTCCAGCCAGGGCCTGCAGGACGCTGTGCGTTAGTGACAGATGGGGCTGGGGAGTCAGCACCATCACGGCAAGCTGAATCCCCTCCTTGGCTACCTGTAAGGGAGGTGGCCCCGTGGAGGTGGCCGACCCCAGCCATCAGCCCCGAGGCTGTGACAACCGAGGACATGGACTTCTGAGCTTTATCTAGGAAACTGTCCTTCCACGTCAGGAAAGAAACAAAGGAGGTCAAGTGGACGTCCCAGAAGGAAGTCCGTCCCCATGTTCCTGCAGGCCTTTGCAAGATCACCCCGAAAGTGACCAGCAAAAAACAAACGGTGCTGTTCATTTGACTGTGTTAATAACAAAACACCAAGAAAAAAAATTCGTGAATAGCTTTTTCTTTCTTTTTCTCATCTCTCCCTCCTTCCCTCCCCCTCAGCCCATCCTACACCAAAGGACTGAGACAAAATCCCATTAAAATCTAAGACTTCTCCACTTCAAAAGACTACTGACTACTGCGTTTCTTTATTCATTCTTCAAATTGTTGGGGTTTTTTGGTTTTGTTTTTTTTTTTTGACTTTTCTCACCCCATTTTGCTCAGTACGGTCTTAATTATGGGGGGAGGGGGAGGGGCGGCCAGGCCAGGCCAGGTAGAAGTGACAGTGTCGAGATCTGCGCTAACCAGCTATCGATCGGGCGGGATCAAGACAGTTGGGGATAAGAAAATAAAAGAGAAAGGGAGGGGGGCCCAGCAAGGACGATCCCGTGTTCACCTCCATTTGGAAAAGAGGGGAAAACGAACCAATTTACGGCCTTGGCTGGGAGTAGAGTAAGAATGCTGATGGTGGAGGTGATGTCTGTGGCCTGAATCCTAAAACACCCGCTTCAAATGACAACCCCTAGCTGGCCGGGGCATCCCGGGCTGGCCAGTCACAGGAACAAAGGGAAAAGAAGCCACATAAGGAGGGAGACCCAGGGTGGGCGCCACTTCTGAACCCCCCTTCCCTTCCTCTTTCCTCACCAGGTCCCCCCTACAACCTCCCATCACATTCCCTTCAAAGCTCCCTGACCCTAAACCCAAGGTCAAGACATGGCGGGGGCCGAGGGAGGGCGAGGAGACCGGGCAGGAATCAAGGGACACCTTTTTTTTTGCAAAGAGAGGGTTTGTCCGGCCAGTGGCTCCATGGTAAATACACTGCCTGGCAGAAGCAAGGGGATTCAAACTCCAGCTTAAAAAGAAAAGGGGAGGAACGAGGGGAACGCACGAGTTACCCAATTTTAAGAAGCTGGTAGCTGTATTATTTTTGTAACAACAACAACAACAACAACAGAAAAAACCCCACTAAAATAAAATGGACGCCTACTGCAGCTCACTCATCTTTGCGTCGGAAAGATCTGTTGTGACTTTAGCCGGAATGGCAGTCCCTTTTCTGACCCCAAAAGGCCTCCAGGCCTGGTGGGCACACAAAATGCAAACGAGAACTGAGGCTGGACATCTGTCACCAAAAGCCAAGCGAGATATTGACAACTGTGGGTCCTTTGTGTCTTTGGGATACAGACCCATATCCCCATATGCAAATGACCCCACCCCAGACCCAGCCCCGTGCCAAATGTCAACGTGAACCCTAAAACAGAGGCTGCCCCCACAGGTCTGCAGCTTCTCCAGTGTCCTTAAGAGACAAAACAGCTTTGCATGGGGAACAGACAAATGTCAAATGAGCGAGGCCGATGACACCGCGGCTGGTAACTTTTCTCCTGAGGACGCTGTCACTCCGCTGAAGCTTGGAGGCTTCAGGTGGACAGCAGGAACCTAACTTCCCCCGTGTCCTGCCAGGGCAGAGCCCCCACTTCCCACGCAGCGGGACCGCCTGACCACTGAGGGCGGCCGGGGAGCTCTCGGTGCGGAAGGAACAGAAGAGGGGTCCCCGTCTCTGAGGGAAACCAGCTAAAACTGGGAAGGGGGGGTGGCTCTTATCGTGACTCCCCAAAAGGAGCCCTAACTTCTCACCACCTCCATGGAAACAGAAGCTACCTGGAGACACCTGCTGATGGGGGGATCACCACAGTCCTCGGGTGCCCAGCTCTGACTGGGGCACCGGGCCAGCCGCCCTCCCGACCCCAAGGGAGCCAAGAGGCCTGCACGGGGGACGGGCCGGGTCACCAGGGACAGGAGAGGGAACGTGTGTGCATATACCTTCTTTGCTGTTGGGATTCTGGACTTTGGCCTTCTCCCAGGGCACCAGGCTCTTGTCGTCCTCTGCGCCGTCCACCAGGGCCTTGTCGGCTGGCATGTACCAGACGGCGCTGTGCTCTGCCATCAGCGAGTCCAGGTCGATGGTACTCATGGCACTTTTTACCGCGTCAGAGCAACAGCTGCCCAGCTCGGTGTCACCGTTCTGGGCACCTGTGGCCCCCACGGTGCACTCCCCCTTCTTGGCACCGTTGAGTCCCAGGGGCTGGCCTTCGGAGATGCTGAACTGTTGCCTTTGCAGCTGGATCTGAGCCTGAAGGATCTCCAGGGGGTGGATCTCATCGGGCGGTGGCGCCCCGCTGCTCGTGGGGGTCCGGACCTGCTCCAGGCCGGGAGTTCCGGGGTGGCCATGGCTGTCAGGGGTGGAGGTAGATGTAGACAGGATACCCAGGCCGAGCGGGGTCACCTTCTGTCCGTGTTCCCCGGTGCCCAGCCCTCGAGGAGGGAGTTTGGGCGAACCGGTCACCAAAGGGCTCCTGCTGGCTTTGGCCAGGGCCGGAGGGCTGTCAGAACTGGACGACACTTCGTCTTCCTTGGCACAGCTGCTGCTCACCTCATCCGAGGCGAACTCCCCCACGTGCGGGGAATTACCATCCGACTTGGCCCCTCCGTCCAGGGACGCCATGAGCTCTGACTGGTCCCCAAGTAGCAACTCGGACCCCTTTCCCCACGATGGCGGCGTGAGTGCTTTCTCATAGGGCATGGGCGCCCCTCTGCCGTCACTTGCGGCCCCTGGACCCTGCTGCTGCCCTGGGCTCACCCCAGGTGCGCCCCCACTGTCCGGGGCAGCTGAGTACTTGTCGAAGAAGGTCCCAGGGCTCACGTGACCACTGTCCCTTTTTCTCCGACCCCTTCCCCGGCCGCCGCCCCCGGGGACCGGCTTGCCATCGTTCCCCGAGGTTGATTCCAGGGTGTAATTGGGAGAGAGGCTGGTGCCATCTCCCTGGCTGGGCGGGTTGGGGGGCCCTGAGGCTTTGGAACCACTGCTACTGGCCGCCAAGGGGCCCCCGGGGCCAGGGACCCCAGGAGCCGACCCTCCAGGGAAGAAATCCGAGCCCGGGTTGCCGGCCGCGGCTGCGCCCTCGGTCTCAGTCTGGCTCAGTTTCCTCTTGCCCTCGGGTGGGTTCTTCTTGTTGAACGTCACGTTCAGGTTGGGGGCCCCCAGGCTGGCGATCATGTTCTGACAGGCGGTGGACAGGGCGGCCAGGCAGCTCTGACCAAACAGGTTGTCCTTGGAGCTGGGTTTGTTGAAAGAGCCCAGGGAGAGCGCGCCCAGCTTGCTGGCCGAGGTGCGCTGGCTGGGCTGGAAGTCAGGCTGTGGGGGGTAAGCGCCCCCACCGCCACCGCCCCCACCGCCACCGCCCCCACCACCACCGCCACCACCACCACCGCCCCCACCACCTCCGGAGCTGCCACCCGCCCCGCCTGCACCCGGGGGCGAGTTGACACCGGGGCCGCTGTGCGGTGTGGCCTGCCGGCTCGCTGCGCCAAATGGGAAGCCGGGCTGGCCCCCGAGCGCGGGAGCAGCGAAGTCCGCGGGGGGCCTGCGCTCTGATGGAGCACCACTGGGCAGCCCCACCCCGGCCCCTGGGGACTGCAGCTGTCCCAGGCCGGCCAGGCTGCCCCCAAACTGCAGGCCTGGCGAAGCCAGCGCGGGCACGTGGCCCTCTCCGGGCATCCTCAGCGGCTCCTGCAGGGCACCCCGGAACAACACCCCTGAGCCACCAGCTGCAGGGGGAGGCGCCAGGCTGGGGTCGTGAGGGCCGCAGTCAGGAGGCAGGCCTGAGCCGCCCATCCTGCGGGACAGCAGGTCACCAGGCGGTGGATGAGGACCTGGGAACCATGCGCTCTCCTGCGCCAAGTGGGGCGCCTGCGCCTCGAAGGTCCCCAAGCGCCCTGCGCCCGCGCCACCGCCTTCGCGCTCAAAGCTCGGCTGAGCCAAGCCGCCCACGGGGCTGCCGTGGACCAGGCCGCCCTGGCCTACGTCCCCCGGGTGGCCTAGCTGGGCCAGGTTAGGCTGGCGCAGCCGCTGCTGCTGGTTGCGGGACGCCATCTGTTTGATCATAAGGGCCGCGTTTTGGCGCTGCTGCTGCTGCTGCTGCTGCTGCTGCTGGCGGAGGACCGGGTGATCCGGGGTCGGGTGCTGCAAAGATGGCCCCGAGGGGAAGCTGTCCGGCACCGGCGGCGTGAACTCGCCGGGGAGGCCCGGGTAGGTGGAGGGCGAGAGGTGATTGTCCATGGCGCCGCCGCCGCCGTTCCACGAGGCGCAGCGGTCCACCCCTGCGCTGCCCGGGAAGTCAAAGCGCGGCCTTTTGGCCAGGTTCATGTAAGCGGGCGCATCGAAATGCTGCAGCCGCTGGTTGGACGCCTGCGGTGGCGGTGGCGGCGGCGGCGGCGGTGGCGGCGGCGGGGGTGGCGGGGGATGTTGCATGTTGAACACGGGCTCCTGGTAAGGGTGCATGCCCCGGTTCTCCAGCCGGTGGATCGGGTACTCGAACTGCGCGTGCTGGCTGGGCAGCATGGGGCCCCCGTCTTGCATGGAACCACCGCTGGCCATGCCCGCCTCGCCCTGCTGGGGCCGCGGGAGCGCAGGCGGGCACGAATTCTGCCGGACGAGAAGCCCGGGTGGCGGTGGCTGCTGCGGCGGCTGCGGCGGCGGCGGCGGTGGCGGTGGCGGCGGTGGCGGCTGCTGTGCCGGGGCTTGCTGCTGGGGGGGCGCGGAGGCCTGCTGGGGAGGTTGCATCAAGGGGTGCCGGGAGCCCACTCCAGGCTCCACAGCCACGGGCATCTTGCGTGCGCCCCCAAACCTCTCGAAGAACACGCCGTGCTGCTGTGGGTGCATTTTGGACAAACCCACTATCCCCGAGGCTCTGGATAGGGTCGAAGCACCCGGGAAAGCGCCCCCGGGAACCTGGCGACCCGCCCCATAATGAGGCAGCTGCCCCTCCGAGTCCGAGGGCGGAAACATGTCAAAATGTCCCGAGGGCGCCTCGCCCGGGTAATTGTATTCCAGCGAGTCCACCACGGCTCCTTGGTTCGTGACCCTCCGGGGCTCCAGACTGTGGGAATCGGAGCCGCTGGAGGCGGGCAGGCCGTGGAAGGAGGCGGCCCGGTTAGGGCTCTGGTCCAGCGGCAGGCATGGCGCAGGCACGGCGTGGCCCGAGGCGCCCGAACTATGGAAGTCCGGGAGGTTCCCGGGTCGCTGCGGCCCGAAGCTGTCCGGCCCCTGGCTCTCCGCCATGTGCTCGTAACCCTCCGCGAAGGGCGGTTGGCTGCCCAGGCCGCCGGCTGCGCCACCGTAGCCAAGCAGGCGACCCCCGTGCAAGCAAGAAGCCCCCGGATCCGGGCCACCGAAGTTCCCTGCAAAGTGGGGGTGATGCTGGTGAGGGTGGTGGCCTCCTCCTCCCGGGTGGCCGTGGTGAGGTTGCTGGCCGCCGAAGAAACCGTGCACGGGCTGCGCCTGCAAACCCCCTGCGTGCAACTCCGAGTGGCCGCGCGCGTGGAAGCCGCCGTAGGGCTCCATGTTTATACCCAAGACCGGGGGCTCGCCCAGCGCGCTCATGGCAGGGTCCACGGGGCCGGGGGGCCCCCCAGCGTGGAAAGCAGCGGCCTTAAAGTGGGCGTTCATGCTCAGTTCGGTCTCGTTAAAGTTCCTCTCGCCCTGGCCAGCGTTCCTGCTGTTGATCTGGGGCTCGAATTGGTCCAGCCCAAACATACTTGGCGGGGGGCGGGGGGGGGATCAGTAGGGCATGACAGCCTGGTCTCCGCGGCGCGCCTCCGGCCAGCTACTCGTTCCAGCCCTGGATAGGGCGCTCCGTGGCGCCCGGCACCGCGGGGGCGCAGCGCGCACGGCCACCCCGCCAGGCGTGGAGAGGCTGAGGGAGGAGGAGGAGGAGGAGGAGGAGGAGGAGGAGGAGGTGGAGGTGGAGGTGGAGGTGGAGGTGGGGGGGCCTATGGGCTCCTCTCCCGAAACTCTGGATCTGCCCCGGGGAGGGCCTCTCACATCTTGCGAGGCTGGGGGGCCTCTTGGAGCCGTGTTGGGGGGCCCATGCCCCGGGCGGTTGGCACAGCCGCGGGTGGATTTGCAGGGAGGGGGACCGAGACAAAAAGTTAAGTGGGGGTGGAGGGGGGAAGGAGGCAGCAAGGAAGGGGGGGATTTGGAAAAGCAGAGCGATCACCTTCTCAAGTCCAATCGGGTCGGTTGGGGAGTCCGCGGCGGAGCTGCTGTAGGGCGGGATGGAGACCCCCTCCAAGCGGCGGCTGGAGCAGGGGCACCGGCCGAGCGATCCCTCCCCTCCCTCCCCCCCGGAGTCCAGCGCTCCGCAGCCGGAGCCTCTGCCGAGCACGGTCGGCCCCTGGCGCGCACGGCTGCTGCGTCTTCAGCGGGTCGGAGGGTTGGAGGTTCCGCTCGGCATGGCCGGTGCCAGCCCCGCGCCCCGAACCGAGCCGAGCTGAGCCAAGCCGAGGCGCGCCGGGGAGGCTGCAGACGTCCGGGGTGCAGCGGAGGATCCGGGGAGGAGAAGGAGGAGGAGGAGGAAAGGCGCGGTCCCCTCTGCTCCGCGCCGGGTGCGCGCCGGTCCTCGGCCACGTCCGCCGCTTCGGTCCTCGGCCGCTCGGCGTCTGAGTTCGGCGCCCGGTTGCAGGCGAGGGGAGGCTGGGCGGCTTGGAGGCTCCGGTTCCCTGCCTCGGTGCCGGGGTGCTTCGTGAGTTCCCCCCTCGGACCCCGGCAAAGGGGGTGGGGGTGCGCACACGGATTGGGGTGGTGGTGGTGGTGGTGAGGGGGCTGAGGGGGGGGCCGCGCCAGGCAAGAGCGAGCTAAGGCGTCCGGGGCTCTGCGTCCTCAGCGGATCTGGGAGTTGGAGAGGTGGGGGGGCCGCGCGCCCCTCTCCAGGCGGGCTGGGGGAGGGGGGCGCTCCGCGTGGGGCGTCGCGAGGGTCTCGGCTCCCCTCTCTGTGTCTGCCTCTCGCCCAGCGCCGGGAGAAGCAGCAACAAGTTTTGCATTTCAGCCATCAATTTCAGCCATTACATTTGCACCAATCAGCGCCGCCCAAGCTCCGGGCCCGGGGCGGGGCTCTCGCTCTTAAGGTGGTCCGGGGTCCTGGCCGCCGAGGCCCCCGCCGACTGGCCTGCACCACCCTAGGTCTGGGGTTCCCCCCTGCGCTGGCCTCGCCTCGGGGTCCCGGCGCCAGTGGACTGGGGTGGGAAGGGGATTGGAGATGATGGGGGGGCGCTCCGTGCGCCCCAGGCTTCCCGGTGCGTCAGGCTGGAGAGGGCGCAGGCAGGCCGAGGAGAATGGCGGGAGCCAGGCTTTGTTCACCCCCCTTGCCATTCACACGGTTCCCAACTCCCCACCCCCAACTGCAGCCAGACCTGCCGGGTGGGCAGGGGGCGGGGAGGTGGGCGGTGAGCGGTGCGGGGCGCTCAGACAATGGGGTCGCCTGGCAAAGCCCCTGGGCTCTCGGCTGAAAGTCGCCAAGTGTCTCCAGCCTTAGGGTGAGAGTCCTACTGTCGCCTCTCCACTAGCGGCGCCCAAGGCAGCCGGCCTTGGGGTTTTCCTGGAGGATAAAACAGACAGGGAACCCCACACACATCCTGACCCCGAAGTTAGGATTCTCCAGGAGGAGAGACCCCAGGCGCCGGCTCTGGCCTCCTTTACCAGGGCGCGCGCAACTGTCCCCTTCTCTGCACTTGTCTGGGGTTGCCAGTTCTCAGCTGCTGGCCTTGGCCAGCCCGGGAGGAGTCACAGCCACTTGGCCCCTTTCTAGGGGTCACATCGAAGATGCCCAACGCTGGAGCAGCAAAGCCAAGAGGTTGGGGACCTGCCCCTCCACCAGCACCCCTCCCCGGAAGACCCACGTATAGAGGGCGCGCCAGGTGACCCCCCGGGGCACCTTGCAGCAGTCCTCAGCCCCCCGGGGGACCAAGGCCCAGACCCTCTGCGGTGGCCAAGTTGGCCTCCTTAAGAGATCAATTAAAGTGGAGAGGCCAAGGGATTGGGTTGTGATACCAAAATCAATAGGAGTAATTTAATATCTACCCTGCTCTTTATGAAATAGTTATCCCAATAATCTTAGTTAAAATGTTTAGATCTTCTGATCCCCACCGAGGCTGAAATCCATCTCGCAATTAGAAGTTGGAAGTTAGAGGTGATGGAGGGTGGAGGTGGGGGCGGGGCGGAAAGGCCTTTAATTTTCCTTGCGGTAAGATTGCAGGAGGCGATTTTTCTGGCAGCCCAGGATTTAGGAGAATGGGGGGGGGGCAAAAAAAGAAAAAGAACTTTTCGTTGGAGTTCTGGTGATGTCTGTTAAATAAAAATGCCTTCCCCCCCCAAAGAAAGTGTTTATCGCCCCGTCTGTCTAGCTTTTGCCAAATTGCCCATGAAATCTGAAATGAAATAAACGTTAATAAAAGCAAGCCCTGAGCCCTTTTTATTTAAAAACCTCAGATTAAGCACTCCATCGTCGCCCAGCTGGAGTCAGAAGTTATGGTGCCCTGCAACCCCGGGATGAATCTCCCACCTTCCAACCCCCCACGTTGCCGGGAAAGCAAGGCTGGAATCTGGGTTCCACTGAGGAGGGTGGTTTCTTTTTTGGGAGGGGAGGGATAGGAAACAGACTCAAGACTTTGGAAGAAAAATTAAAAAATAAAAATAATCAAACCATTTCAAACTCAGCTGAAGCAAGCTGGGATCCAAGGCCCTTCCCTGAATCTACAGATTTTTTTTTTCTTTTCGTTTGCAAATTAAAAATGAAAATTACCCCCACCAAAAATGGGGTCTATAAATAAGCATTGGGAGACGTATTTGTACAGGGCGGTGGAGTTTTAAAGGGATTTTTCTGCAGGATCAGGTTGTTGGTCTGTGATTAAATATTGATTTTGTGTAATTAGTTTTCATGTGAACTATCCTCTTGCTGATAGCTTAGAGGTTTCAGAACTAGGAGACGAATGGAATTGGACGTGGAAATTATTACTTAGCAAAGTGACAGGGAAGTGAGAGGCAAAGGAAAGGGAAAGGCTGCTGGTTTAGGGTCAAAGACATTAGGGACCTGCATGTGTTCCCAGTGAGCCACCCCCCAGAGCCCCAGGGCCTCCAGGGCTCCTGGGCCACAGCTGGGAGACCTTGAAGAGGACATTGGTCGTCAGGAAGACCCCTTATGGGTGAAGCCGTGTGCAAAGCTGGGTCACCAGGTGACACAGCCGGCTGTGGACTGTGGGCGTCTCACGGGGAACCGTCTGAACAGGATGTGTGTGCTGTCTGGAGGAGATGAGAGAAGGTGGGGTCCTGGCCAGGGCGCTGGGGTGTCTGGGAGGATCAAGCTCACAACACGGGGAGCCTCTGGGGTGGGGTGTGCGCCAGGCTGAGGTAGGACCTCACGGGTGCCCCGCACACCTGGGCACTGCGGGGAGGAGGACAAGAGTCAGCTCCCCACGGTGCCTGTGTCTGGGTCGCCTTTGTTTAACACTTGGGAAGGTTGTGCCGGCGTGTGGCGTGGACGTGGGTGCCTGTGTGAGGCTGGCTGGTGTCCGAGGACGTCTGGACTCGCCGGTGGGGGGTGCACGCGTGGATCTCTGGGTGCCCGTGTGTGCACGTGTGTGCGCCCCCCGCGTGTGGCATCCCCGCTGGCGTGCGTCTGTCTGCTTCTGCAAGCGTGGCAGCGGGAGCCTCTGCCTGCACCCATCTGTGCCCGTGCCAGCGCCCCGCCCGCGCAGCGTGGGCGCCCCGCGTGTGCTGCAAGGTCTTTGAAACGGACACATTGCCCCCTAGCGTCCAGTGCCACTCAGAGTCCCCGCCTGCCAGGGCCATTGGAGCCTCAGGGTTCCCTGCAGGCCTCCCCCTTCCTCCTGCCCTCCCCCAGCCGGCCATGGCCGGGCGCCTGGGGCTCAGAGTCCCCGCACATTTGTCCTCCACGCCCTCGGCAACACCACGCAGCTCCTCAGGGGCCCCTCGGGTCCAGCCGGGGACTTTGTATCCGTGCCTCCAGTTCATCCTGGGACAGCCGGCTTCTGGACCCATTTCACAGATGAGCAGACAGAGCCTGTGGCCGGGCAAGAAATGTCCCCATAGAGTCCCTGGAAGCCTGGTGGGATCCTGACCTGCTGTGCACGGTCCATGGAACGAGCTCTCCCAGGGGCTCTGGGGTGACAGAGCCACAGCCCATCTCGTCCTGGCCACTTAGGGGACAAAATGCTGCCTTGTCTGACCTCCCTCGTTGGAAAGGGACACCAGGTACCTTCCTGTGAGCCAAAGGATCAGAGCTAAGTGCACAGAGGGCACAGAGGGTGGCAGGTGCCAGACACCCATGAAATTGGCTCCCATAAGCCAGGCACGGCGGCTCCCAACTGTAATCCCAGCTACTCAGGAGGATCGCGGTTCAAAGCCAGCCTGGACAAACAGTTCATGAGACCCTATCTCAAAAAAAAAAAAAAAAACCACAAAGAAAGGGCTGGTGCAGTGGCTCAAGGCGTCACCCCGAGTTCAAACCCCAGTACTGCCAATAAAAAAATAAAATAAGTGGTGTTTTCTCGCTGTGGTTTTCCCACACACACATGGCATTACTTCGAGCAGACGCACCCTCACCAGCGCCCCTCGCTCTACGCCCGTCTTTCATTCTTTTTCAGGTCTGGATGCCCCATGAGAGAGGAGCGGAGTAGAGGAGGGAGGGGGTGAGATCCTCGTGGAGAACCCAGGATGCTGGTTGCTAAGCAACAGCATCCCCGTCCACGCCCCCTTCACCCCCCAAG